ATATGAGTTTTTCAGTAAATGATAATTATAGAATTATTAACGTTATTTATAATATTAATTAATTTTATGTGCTATTAAAGAGAATGCCTATTTATAATTTTTTAAAATTTTGTCACATATAAGACCATTTTTGTTTATTATATTTAGAGTAAAATAAAGAATGAATGCTTAAGTTTAACATTCCTCTTCAATCAGAATTAATTTTAAATTTTTTATATAAATCTATATAGAACGGATGTATTCAAAATAAATACAATATTGGAACGCTTTAAAAAAATATGCCAATAAAAAGTTAATGCGTGGAACGGTTGTTGCCGATTGAACGGTTATAACTTTTGAGATAAGAATAAAAATATCAATATAACCAAGCAATTCTATTCGTAAGAATGTCTATTTATAAATAAAATCCATAAATGAAAAAACTTTATACTGAATGTATATCAAATATTTGAAATACAAAACTGACATTTTAATATATTCGTATTAAAGGAAATCTTTTTCTTTGATATTAATGGATAACATGAACATATACATATTTATATGTTCATATAGATATATTCTTATATCTTCATATAGACATATTCTTTTAATCTAATAAAATATTTTGTTGAATACACTTTATCAGTTGGTTCATATAGTATTCTATAGTTTTTTATTATTAAGTGTGGGTTTGTCTGTCCGAAGAGATAGATTGTCGACTCTGCTTGGAAGTAGACGAGACTTCCACTCACATTCTCTGTGACTGCCCAGCTTTGATCTCGGCCAAGAGGAGGTCACGGGGTTGAGAACTACTCTCCCTACTACTCTCTGATATTAGGAAGTCCTCATTGGTCGACATTCTAGCCTTCATTCGGAAAGCGGAATGTCTTCTGTTCGGTTAGCGTCTTTTACAGCACAAAAGATCGACCATGGTAGCAGTTCTACGCTCCGTTGGGCGCTGGTACTTCGTTTATTCCTAAATTTGTTTTTGAATAGAATTTTATGTAAATATTATGCATAAAATAGTTGTTAACAGTAGACTTCAAATAGTATATATGTAGCTGTACTCGCATGTGTTTAAATAAGATTGTAATAGAAGTATTAATAACTTTAATCGTAACAAGACTTTGTAATCCTACTGAGCTAATATGCAAAGACATATAGACCATAATTTGTTTGATGGATGTATTATATGATAGGACATTATATATATAATTTAAGTCAACTTTCTCAACATAATCATTTGTTGTCTAATATGCAAAGACATAGTTTATCTATACACTAATAAAATTGAGTAGACGGGTAGAATTTGTTTGATGGCGGGATGTATTGAATGATAGGGTATTATATATATAATTCATGTCAACTTTCTCAACATAATCAATGGTACTATGTAACATGAAGATGTGTTTAAAAGCATTAATTTCAATGTTCAATGTCTTCTTTTGTATTATTTATTAATTCTGCATATTATATAAATTCCTTAACGTACCGTAATTTTTCAAGTGTCACTTTGACATTTAATGATAACGGAAACAAATAAAACGCATTAACGAAACTGTCAAAGCGAGCTGTCAAAAATTGTTTATGTTTACGTGCACACAAACACATTCGGGAAGCGGAATGAAGGATATGCGGGATGAAGGATATGCGCATAAAGGACGCTGAGAAGAAAAGCAAACAAGTGGTATTGTTTTCAATTGAAGAGATACTGCAAAATAAATAAATACTAATAGCGAGAGAGAGAGAGAGAGAGAGCGAGAATTAGAGAAAAAGAGTGTATGACAACCTGACGGACCCAAAACTTAATGTCAAAGTTGGCTCCAAGTTAGCGTGCATAAATGCGTAGGCTAGTGAGATTGCCAGTACGTATGGTTGTTATATATGTGTATTCGCGCTTGCATCCGAAGTCCTTAAAAGTTTTTGTTTTCAAAGTGACATTTGTAAACAATTTTTTTTATATGAACTTGACTGGAGGCATCTACTATGATTTTATTTCGACATGCGCAACGCAGCGAAACTCTTAACAACTTTGATGGGGAAACTCCTTTTGATGTAGAGACAGACTATGCCAACTATTTTATGCAAGTGAAATTTTTTCACTAACCAGAATAGAAGTGTCCTTTGTGCGTAATGGTTTAGAACTTGTGTTAGCTTAACGAAAAGTTATATTTTTTCCATTAAATTTTTTATTAATAAACAAGAAGTTAATATTAAGTATAAAAATAATTAAAGTATCAGTTCTGTAATACAGTATCAGTTCTAATAAGTGCAATATAAATAGTTTGCTTATTTCTAATAATAATTTGAAATTATTTTTTATTGTGTGCAAGTACGTTTTATTTTGCTGTATTTAAAATTCAATCAAGTGGCTGAAAAAGTGTGCAGAGCCTCGACGTTTACAGGACTATTCTGCATAAGTCAAATATAAAAAATTAAATAAGAAAATTAAAAAAAAAATAAATTTCTCCACTCGTCGTCTTAGAAAAAAGTAAAATTTAATTTTCTGCTAAATAAATAATTTATTTTATTTACATAAAATTTTATTAATAATTAATTTCTGCTTGCTCGTAATTTTGTCAATATTTTTTAAACTTATTTTTATTAATTAAATCTTAATTATTATTTCCTTTTTTATATACACATTTTGAAAATTTTGAAGTACTTACCTTTTTTCACATAATTCCCGAGATATTTGTGTGTGTATGCGTAAAAGTTTTTTCACTAACCTGACACCTGCCACCTTCCTCCCTTTTCATTCTTCAAGTGGTTGAAATCGTTTGATGTTCAGTTAACCCTCCTATTAAAAATTACATTTTTTTTCGTAATCATAAATTTGAGGCTCTTCAAGAGGATAATTTTGAAAATTAAATCTCGCGAATTTTAATACAGAAAATTTTCAGAACATATGGCAACGGCGAACTTCCATTAACACATATATATTATTATATAATATACATATATTATGTATTGTCATAACTTAATAAAATTAAATAGCAAATAGAACTAAAAATATTATTATTAGTAAACTGATTTTTTATATACTATTAGCATATACTATTAGAGTGCGGAGAATTCGATTTAAATAGTATAAAGATTAAATATTTTCATGAAAAATTAATAATTTTTGTTAATAAACTCAATTGTAGTTTTCCAGACATTCTCGTAGGTTTAGTCTATTTCTGCTATTTTCATGAAATCTAACAAGTAAAAACAGTTTTCTGGAACAATTCTTCAAGAAGACGATATACATTAAGTTAACTTATTCTTGTAAAAACATATTTTAGATAAATAGGGTTACATACATAAACATTGACTGGACATGTACATAACACGTAATAGTTATATTATTCAAAAGCGCCGCATAAATTTACCTGTGCGTTCTCAACAACACAGAAAACAGTCCTCTCCTTATCGAAATGTTCATGTCATCTCTTTGCTTGTTCCCACAGTTTAAAGTCCTTCGAATTTTTTGCATGTTCCATATGTATATTCCAAATCTTTTAGCATAATAAGACAAATTGAATTAAGGTAGGTTTCAACTTTCATTAACTGCTTCAAATTGAATTCCAATAATTAAACACATTTTTATTTACTCTTATATCTCGTATTTATCAGATATTTATCAGATATTAGTTAACTCAAGAGCGTTTTATGATAATGCAGTAACATGGTAATTTTCTAGTACTGGACGAAACCTACGATTTCAAAAGAACTATTCAATATATGTTACTGTGAAAAGTTTATTTTGTAATGGAACATATTATAAGAGGAGAATTATTGAAGAGTCTAGTTCGAATGAAGTTGCAAGTGCATTACTAAGCCGATCAATATGCAACAGATACTATTATAAAAAAGTTAATGTATTTTGTTGCGAAAGGAACATGACAAAGATATGTCAAGGTCTTGGTATTTGTACCTGTAAGATTAGTAAAAGTGGAATCCATTTAAAATTTTAATAGTTAATATTACAGATTGTAACATTCCTAAGATGTTTTAATAGAAGTTTGTAGAATATATAGATAGCTTCTATTATAATCGCAATTATAATGAATATAACTTCAAATATTATGTTAAATTATAAAAATATGGAGTTCCCTGAGAAGTAAGTACGATTTTTTCGAGTTTAATTTTAGGTATTATAGAAAAGATAAGTGTAGACAGGTTTGTTTCATAATTCCTTACAAGTTTGAAAAATGACTGTAAATTTTTTTCAGGATGTAATTCTGAACGTCACCACATAATTTACCACACATTTCAGAACTTAGTGAGATAAGAATAGAGTGTATGGTATGGTTTTACTTTTTATTGGAATTTTTATATAACGATATTTCGCTTCAAGACTGCATTTAGTACTGAAGAGGATAACGTATTACGAAATAAAATAGCGTATTCTAATCCGCTTGGAATTATGTGTCGATTGAATTGTTCCTTTTCTATATTGAAGTACTGAACTACTTTTACAACTAAAGTTTACATCTTATATTACTTGAAATGCTTACAGTTTTTACCAAATGAGACTGTGGCCATCGCTTACAGTTGTTACAGTTGCTGACAGTTGTCAGCACTTCCACTCGGTGGCATATATTGCCTATTGTGATGCCCTCAAAAATTATTTCGGAAGAGGCGAGTTGCTAGCCTTTGTTGTCCTTGTTAAACCATTTGGGTTTTTCAGATGAAGTTGAGGAGATCCAGTGAGCTTGCTTTCGTTATCTCTTCCAAGCCAGTAAAAAAGCAATCCGCAAGACATTGCAGTCGCTTTGTCTACAATCCTGGACAGAGACATAGGAAGTGATTGATAGCTTCACTATAGGTTAAATTAATATAAAACTCTTTCTTTACTTACAGCTTCACAATTGGCCATTAATATTTATTTTTAAAAAAAGTTATTAAAACAGAACATTATTTGTTATCGTTGTTTTTATTATTTTATTTGACAAACTTTTCTATATTTTGCTTAAGCACTAATCATTTGAATAGATAACATCACAACCATCCTTTTTACGTCGTATCTACTAACTAACAATTAACGGAATGTGATTATTTTTATGTGTCGAAAATAAATTTTTTAATTTAATTGTTTTAAAACTAAATCCGTAAACTTCTCCCTATACGATTTGTTTGTCAAACTCAAGTCAAAATGAAATAATACATAAGTTCAACGGATTTTCTCAACGAGTATAAATCCGTTAAAACGCAACAATTTTTCAACCAGACCAGGTAAGTATATTCTAAGAGAAATTAAATTCTCACTTTAACTTAATATATATTATTATTTTATTTTTATTCACAAATTGAATTTTAAAGGATTTAAAAATTCGATTAACTTTAAAAAATTAAAAAAATAAAATAAAATAAAAGGCAGGTAACGTTCAATTATTTTCTTAGATTTGTATTTATTTCGCATGCCTTTATGAAATATTTTGTCTTCTTAGTATCTTGAGTATCTTGAGTAATGTACAGATTTTGGCATAAGTTTCAATTAATTTTTATTAAGATTTTTACCACAATTTTCTACCCGTCCAACCACAGTTTTTATGGCATTTATAAATGATTTCGTTCATATACTTTATTTGTAAGAAGGTCTTAAATGCACATAGCAACCTGGTAGAAAGCACTATCAGTACTGCTGACTCCTTGTTTACAACAATCACAAAAACTTTTGCAAGCATATATTAGAATCTACTGGGTCTCAGTAATATCTTGTTATAAATCATATTGAATAATGTTAATAAATTATTCTAATTTGACTTAAGAACTTCAATTCTTTATATTTTATTTATTAACTAACAATCTGGTGTGTACCAGTGTTTTCTTCACCAATTTTCTTTATGGATCGGTATCTGTCGTCTCTTTTTATCAAACTTGTACTCGCATTGCTTTTTATATACATCAGATCTCATATATGCCTTCTTCTTCATTGATCTATAGGCACTTTCTTAAAAGCTAGTTTTGCTGTTCTATCAACACACTTTCTTCCTAAAAACGCCAGCCTAATCGTTATAAAATACGTTAGAATTTGATGTATGGGACGACATTTCGGGGTTTGCATCTTATTTTGTAGTGTACGTTATCGTTGTAGCATATTTTATATGGAGTCAAAGATTTTTTAAAAGATTTTTCGTTCATATATGTTTTGTTACCTGATAGGATTTTTACCTATTTGTCTTCTTCAGCACTAAATACCATTCCGAGATATTTAAATTTATTCGCAGTTTCCCAGCCAACATTATCTATGTTGAATGCATCATAATTTGAATCCCAACCCATTTTTATAGGCTGTTTCTACACGGTATTAGTGTGATACAGTCTGCAAAGTTGGAGATTTGGTTGTTATTATTGAAATTTCTTTCTTCGGTATCAGACCTGCTTAAAACATCGTTTAACCCTACTGAAAACAAGTGAAGGCAAGAGAGAACAGTTTCTTCTTTGATCTTGAAAATTTCAAAAAAGTTGATCAGTTTTCCTTTCTAGAAGCCTTTATCTTTATGCAATTTAAGATATTTACTACTTATCGCAATTGCTTCTTTGAAATGTTATTTTTTAGAAAACTTAAGCCATTTTTAATTCGTTCAATGGAATCAGCGACTTGTAGCAAGTTGATGTACAAAAAGTTGATTTTTTTTTAAATTGATTGAACTTTTCCAAAAAGTTTTGGTGAATGATTATGGAGACCACATTGGTCATCGTCAAGTACTCGTAGTTATTTTGTGAATGTATTTACACGTTAGTGAAGTATATTTGTGAAGTTTCTATACCTGAGATTGAGCAGTGATATGTCTGAGGGCTTTGTGCCATTGCTTGTACACATATATTACAAAACTACCTTTTCAGTCTCTGGTAAGATTTCAATTCTAAGCATATATAAACTCTATGGGAATATATTCTCTATTATAAACTCTATTATTAAATACTGTTAAAAAAAGGCCTAAAAGACCTGTAAGTGTATATACGATTATAATGGTTAATAGATATTTTGTTACACGTCATATGTCTAGTTTTATAATGTTTTGGTTATAAGTTAAGTATACATGCTTTCAAATTAGCTGAATTATTATCTATAGATGGTTTAAAATGCATTGCTCAAAGCTGTTTAATTGCTGAATACAGCAAGGACTTAACATTGGCATAACTACTATACTTTTAGCGTCATAGCAAGAATTACAAAAAACTTTGTTAAATTGTAATTATCTTTGTTGTACACAATTTAAAAAAGAATTTAATTACGTCAAAGTTATTTTTAATATGTTTTGTGTTCAGCGGATCCTGTATATCATTCATCACTCCCATCATTTGCATTCTATGCCACAAAACCGCAGCTTCATCAAGTGAAAGCTTTGACATTGCTTGCTGAACTCAATTGATTTACATTTCAGGTTGTTAGTTTGTTGTATATCAACTCGGTTTAGCCATCATCCCAGAGTCTCCTACACACCCTTGTATCTGCGTTTCTTTGACTTTACTGTGTTGTTGCTACGAGTATTTTCCTGGTTGCAAGTAACACGCAAAAAGGTACATCAAGGTTACATCTGCACACTGTTCTAGCCTAGCTGTGTGACGACGTGCTGTGTTCTGATAAATGTTCATACCCGTACATATGTATGTTCTCGTAATATTGAAATGTTAAACTTGTAGATACTCCCCTGTAAAGTTAAAGGGGGGTGCATTTAAGGTGAATGAAATATATGTAAGTGTCATTTGACCTTCTTAGTTTAATAGATTTTATAACAATGAGTGAATTAATACTCAATAATATACAATAATGTATGTGATGAATAAATATATGTACGAGTATTATCATAATTTTAATTTAATTTAATTTTTTTAATATCTAAGAAGTTAGTACCTATAAGTATATTAATATTACCAATTTAGCAAATTCAATAGATGTATTTAAATGTTGGCATATTGTGGATTAACGTTAACAGAAAACCAAACGAATAAAAATCAGAACAACAAGATGGAGTGTATGTGAAAGTAGAAGTAGAAAGGGAATCTGAAAAAATTATTACTCTCTTACTTACTTCTTCCATATATTTCCATCCCCATTTATAAAGTATAAATTACATACTTTAATATTTCATTCTAACATATAAACATTGATTGAAGCTTTAGAGACTATATAATTTGATCCTCATAATTCGAAGCATTCCTGTTGTTTCATTTGCATATTAATATAGAATCTACTCGGATCCACAGTAATCACAATGTATATTTGCTTGTGGAGGTGGCTTATTATGGGTACTTATTTCATGATTACGGAATAACACTTGCCCGTAGTAAACTACACTGTAAAAAAATTGCCAGAAATATGAGTAATTCCTGTATGACCCGACATTTCAATAATGTATTACGTATATATCCAGAGTGCTTTCCTTTTTTAAAAGTGATGGTGGTTGTATAGGAAACCATAATGATATGTAAGGCTTAAATATCTGCCGTAAGAAATATTATAATTTAAAATGATTATATATTATTGATTATTAATAATGGATTTGAAATATAATTTCTAAGAAGTTTTAAATTACTATATATTTCAACCTAATATATCAGTAATGATATAAGTAGGTCAAAGAATTTTCATTAATTTGGTTTTGAAACTTATAGTACTCCAAAACAATAATGTGTCTTCTATTTTTGAAGGACTAATTTTAAAATTTTAAATGTGATAAATATATTTTATGAATATAACACTTATTATCCTTTGGAGCATTTGCCAAGTACACAGAAAGTTGCTGGACTTCTGTAGACATATAACTATAATATAAAATCCGTACGTCAGTGAATACTATTCTGTTCTGTCGGGATATTGTTATATACTATATTGTAGGTAATCATCTATATAAAGTGTGGTATATATATACTGACTTTTTTTAAAGTCAGCGAAGTCATATTGTGTACTAATAAAATTTAATTGCAAGATAGTCATCTTGATTTTATGTAAACCATTTATACTTCTTGTGTTATGTTATACTAGATATTTATTCCAAACTCGGTAAATTGATTATTAAGTATCTAGTAAAAGTTTACTGTATATCGAGTCATCAAATTTAATAGGAATTACTGTTATATTCCATTTCTGCGGGAAATATTTGAGCATATGCAGACATAACATTATTTTGGTATATGAAGTTTATGTGTATTTATATGTATTCGTATGTTAGGTAATATAGTCCAGTTTTAAGATTTCTACCACTAGATGGCATTACAATCAATTGAGCATATGGAGACATAACATTATTTTGGTATATGAAGTTTACGTGTATTTATATGTATTCGTATGTTAGGTAATATAGTCCAGTTTTAAGATTTCTACCACTAGATGGCATTACAATCAATTTCGCCGACGCTACATACTATTCATTTCTCTTGTCTATTTTCAGCTGACTTGAGTTTATACCCGAATTGTGATATTCATTTCAATTTAATTTCTTATTAATACTTTCTCTTTATTCCTGAATTCTTTAAAAGAAAGTGCAGTTGGACAATTTTAAACATTTTGTAAATAAAACCCTTGTTATTGTACGTATAATATTTTGAATTCCTAAAAGTTTTTTTAAGTGGAAAATACTATGTAATGCATCCCTGAGCTATACTTTTTACTAACCTAAAAGGTTTTCATACATTTTTTTTTCTATATTTATTCATTTTTATTAATATTTAATGATGGAAGGAACAAATTAAAAATGCCTACTATGAATTTTGTAAAAAATTTCAGAAAACCCAAATGCCCGAAGCTCTGACACTGCCCGGCATGGCTGACGCGGAGCCAGACTTATCGACGTTCGAAAACAAAACCGGCCTAGCCGATGACATGAAGTTTTTAGCCTCGATGCCAGAACTGTGTGATGTAACGTTTCTGGTGGGCGACACACGTGAGCCAGTTTGTGCCGTAAAGGTAAGTGGGAGTAAGCCTTCAAAAGCACAGAAGCACAGAAATACAGAACTGCGTGTAACAGCTACACGTGAATGCAAATAGGGGCACTGTGTGGGTACACTGTACATATGTGTATCGGTTTTTGTAGTACGTGTTGTACTGTACGTGTTAGATACTTTATAGCACAAAATTTGGTTTGATTTCACTTCGTTAAGTTATCACGTTACCGACATTTTCAAAGTGTTCAGGTATCGCCGTTGGCTGCAGCATCGGATGGCTAAATGGGTCAATGAGGTCGCTTGTACGTACAGCTCGTATACCAGTACATAAGTGCAGCATTAGAACTTCTATTTTTCATTAGAAAGCCATTCACTTTCTATTATGATTATTTATTTATTAAATATTATTTCTAATGTGCTTTGTTTTTAATGCTTTCCATACTTGACTTGCAGGCTGTACTCGCGTCACGTTCGCGTGTATTTGCGAAAATGCTGTACTCTGCGCCATCACCCCAGCGCAAGAGGGAGACGTCCACCAAGGAGAACAAGTTGCGCTTATTTCTGAAGCGCTCCTCGGAGCCCCTGTTGAATCTGCAGAATGCGGCACAACAGGTTGGTAATCGATTTTCATTTTCATTTTCATTAAAGCCTCAAATTATTTTTGTGGGATTTGTGTACTAAATTCGTGTTAAATGTGTGCGTAACTTAAGGGTTGAACCTAATTTGGTCGTAGTGGTTTGGGTGGTAGCGCGTGCAAGCTTAATGTGCGTGTGAGTGTGTAAGTGTAAGCTTTTTATTTAATATAAAATATGAATTATAATATTTAATAAAATACTTAATGCAATGCATTAATTAATAAATTTTCTTTTTCTTTGATTTAGCAATACAGTAATCTCCCCTATAACACGGTATACCCCTATACCGCGTTATAGGGGTATTCCGTATACCCCGTATACACACGTATACATACCCCGTACGCGAAGCTAATTATGAATTGTACAAATCCCCACGTTATATGGGGGATTGAAATCGCTTAATATGTAAACGCGTTATTAGAGTACCGCGTTATAGGGGGGATTACTGTATATATAAAAGCGTATTAAATAATTCTTATTAAATAATTGTATTAAAAACGAAATAATTATTGGACGAAATATTGATAATAATTATTAATTGAGATTTAAAATATTTAAATTAAAATATAGATGTATTTAATAATTTATAAATTAACAACAAATACTGCCTGACATAAGTATTGTTTTAAACTATAATATTTTTTATTAAAAATAATTTAATAATAATAATTAAAAGTTTTGTTGACAATATGAATAAAAACAAAAAAAATTATATTATTTACTAATGAAATTGAACTAAATAATTTGAATACATAAAAGAAATATAAACCTTTTTAAAATGTTAATTTAAAGATTTGAATATTAATTAATTTATATTTTGTTGAACGATGTTATATAGTTGTTTGTAGCGTATCATAAATTTTATTTCAGTATATAAATCATTTATATAACATAAAGAATGAAGAACCAAAGAAAAATATTAGAACGAATTTGATATGCTCTCATACAAATAGTATAATATTACAAATACAAATAGCCCTATTACTGAAACATTAGTATTATTATTATCATTTCCACACTCTATTAGGAGCTTAAGGAGTCTACAAAATTTTTCCACTGGTTTCTATTTTGTGCTATTTCTTTCAACTCGTTAAGCGATTTGCCCATCTCCTGTTGAACTGACCTTCCCCAGGTCATTGCTAGTCTACCTCTGCGCCTAGTCCCTTGGAGGTTCCAAGTAAGTGCAGCATGCGCGCTATCTTCATCTTCCAACCATACTTCTTTCTTCTTATCTCGCTGTTTACGTTTCTTTGGTGTCTCTTGTTGACATATTGATATGATGTTGATCTGGAAAATTATAGAAATCCACCTTTAATTCTTATAGTTTAGTGACATTAGAAATGTTCGTTCGTTTTCTTCATAATTAAAATATACTATATACCAAACGGTGATTTTGAGCTTAAAAAATATTTATTTGTTAGATGTTAGCATATTGATGTTAGCAAAAATCTTGACAGTATTTATTACTAAAATTAATAAGTATATTAAAAATTTGTTTTAAATTTAAATATTGTAAAGTATTTCAAATTTTTAACAAGCTGAACTTTGTTGACTTCAACTGATATATTCAGGATAATATCTCGCACTAATAAATGCATTGATTTCTCTATTAATATAATTTAAAATTCTTAATAAATAGGTTAAAATAGAATGGAAAGAAATTAATATCTAATATTTTATAAGCTTCTTATTAAATATTTTTAATATTTATATTTGAAGATATTTGACTAGATACTATTTATTATATGCCAAATATAGGAGGATGATAGTTATTTTAAGTTCATATCATAATTACATATCATAAATGTGACGTAATTTTATTAATATTTTATTGAAATTCAATTTATTTCTTTAAAAAAAAAACATTAAAAATGTTAATGTTATTTCCAATATATCGTCTACGAAAGTTTTTAACAAGAATCATGAGATTTTTTATAACATATTATAATAGTTATGACAGGCAGTGTTATTGTATAATAAGACTTAACTATGATATTGTAAATATATATTATTATATAAAGAATATATAATATCAATATTAAATGTTCATTATATATTAACTGTTGTATATGCTGAAAAAATTTTTATTGTCATTTTTATAGAGAAGTGGTTTCACCCAACAATTAGCTCCAATACCCGAGGTAAATATTTTTCAAATGCGACATCTCCAGTGTTTCATTTGAGAAATGATTTTGTTGTAATTTTGTTTCAAGTTTCATTTATAATTTTGCCAAAATTCTATATTTTTTAATGTATTCTATTCTTCTTATTTTTTTATTGCTCTCCTCTATAATGTTATGTGGTTTGAGTTTTATTAAATAAATTGGCTTAAATTCTATTTTCTCATCACTACTTTAAATTAGGCTGTATAAGTATTTAGGCGAATTGATATCTTAACTGTATAGATGGATTCTTGAACTTTCTATCAGTTGAAGAGCATATCTATTTTCAAGTAAAAATTCATGTTAACCTGAACTTTGCTGTGGGAACTATCACATGAGCACGACTTCATTTGAAATGTAAAGTGTGAAACTATCTATCATGCATGCTTGATCAAAAGTATCTCCAGGCTTTCTTTATGTGTTTATGTAATTACATATATATATGCCATAAGTACTATATAGTATAAATTAATAAATTAACTTATTATTGGTGTGTGTATCCTATTGATGCGTTTATTTAAAGAATTATGTGTTTTGAAATGGTTACTTTAGATAGCAATCATATATATTATAGAGTATTATGGACTTCATGCAATTATTAAAATGCTTCAAATAAACTGAACTAAACTAGAAGTTTTAGCAAGAAGCAAGAATTAGCCTGTAAATACTTAAGTTGTGTATCTTTAATATTTAAAAAGTTGATAGTTAATTAATATTGCATGTCTTTTATAAAAACGACTTATAAATAAAAAAAAAAAATTGAATTAAAAAATAGTTTTTCAATGATAATATATTTTAAATAATTTGTTTAAAAATTAAAGAAAGAATTGTGTTTAGTAAGTCAAGAGCCTATTTTATCTACAGATTACAAGAAACTTTTACGCAGGTAGAGTGGATCATTAACTCCACAAGCAGACTTTAAATAAATCTTTTGTCCTAATGTAAAATTTTATAATCTAAATGTATAATCTTTTCGAAAATTAAACTTCTACTCTTATTGATGTGACCCGTATTAGTTATTCTTACAAACAGAAATGATGTGAACTGAATATTCTTCGTTCTGAATAAGGATATATTCGTTGAGTGTATAACGCATACAAATAAAATCGAAAACCAAAGAAAATATTTTTTACGATCAGTTCAGATACATATTGTATGTACTTATAATCTAGCAAGAGTTTTTTATTAATAGTTATCAGTGCAAAGTCCATTTTACTAAATTATTAATTTCTATAACTGAAGTTACAGATTATCTCAGATCAAAACTAAACAGATCAGTCTTCAAAACTCCTTAAAGAGAGTATTTAAGTTTCGATAAAACTAATTTTAAATGCATTAACTTCTTTTAAATTTTAAACAGAGAATCGGTCTGTGTTTTTGAAAACCTCTTTGCTGCAGGTGGTCCGATTCTGATTCTGCTCTGCAGACGCTTTTAAAGCATATTACCTAGATCACTTCTTAGTACGAGTATCTTTCCTTGACATTGTGTGCAATTTCTATAATTCTTTTTACGTATTATTTTCTAAACCACACTATAAGCTTTAATGTGTAAATTTTATAAATACAATCAATGTATCTATGTCTATCAAATACAGAGTATGCTATGTATTCAACAATTGGTGTCTAAGTGTTTAACTATAACAAGGAATGATGCTTTGCTGTATATAAGATCTAGGAATTTTTTTTAGAAATAAAATTTAATTAAAAGGGAATACTTAAATTATTTTAGCCATCCGGACAACAACATCAAACTTTAATTATTGAAGAATTTGAACCGGATGTTTTTCGTCAACTGATTGAGTATATCCACACCGGTTGTGTGACACTGCAACCCAGAACATTGCTAGGTAAGACTACTGATAAAAATACTCCGATTCTAATACAAGTGAGATCTATAATATATATATGAGATTTATCTAATTAATATTAAGTTAAATTCAATATCTTTTCAAATACTAATTGAAGTCAAAATGATCTATTTAAGGTGTTATGAATGCAGCAGATTATTATGGTTTAGAAGAACTACGTCGTGCTTGTGCAGGATTTGTGCAGTGCTGCATCAATGTGGATACAGTATGTGCCCTATTGGCATCAGCTGAACGGTACATCCAATATAAGTGCACAAAAAGTTTGGTACAAAAGGTTTTAGAGTTTGTTGATGAGCACGGCAATGAGGTACTCAATTTGGGCAGTTTCACATTATTGCCTCAGCATGTGGTGCGTCTGATCTTGGCTAGAGAAGAATTGCGTGCAGATGAGTTTACTAAATTTCAAGCGGCTTTAATGTGGAGCAAAAAATATTACGATAACAATCCAGTAAATATATTCTACAAATTAACATTTGCAATTATAAAATAAAATAAAAACATTTTTACCAGAACATTGATATGAAGGAAATACTTGGAAATTTCCTCGAATACATACAATTTCATAAGATTCCTGCCAACGTTCTGATGCGTGAAATACATCCGCTCGGTCTGGTACCGTATTCAATTATAATGAATGCATTAGCTTACCAGGTGAGAAAATTGTACTATGTTAATTAAAAATATACAAACATATTTCAAAATTCTAATATTTGATCAATTAAATCGATTAACACTAAAAATATATTTAACGGCATCGGCGTATTTGTTTATACAATATGCCATTGTCGTTCCACTCCCTTTTGTCCCCCCTTTATGTCTGATTCTAACCATTGCAGGCAGACCCAGAAAGCATCGACCCCGGAAAACTGTCTCCCAACTCTAGTCGAGTGAGGCGTGCGCGCCAAAATCAAGGCAGATCGATGTCAGTACAAAGTTCACTTGACCCCTACGGTTCGAATACAACTTTAAGCTCAAGTGGCAGCAGCGACCCCACCAGTGGCCCGCATAATAGCAACTAACATAAGTTGAACGGCCCTTCCTCCTCCTCCCATCATACCTCCGGTCGTCATAAACACAATCAATCGTTACCAAAAATACGTAAAGCGAAATCACAAAGTTTCCGCACCCGAAGAAGTCCATCTGAGAGACGCAGTCCGAATACTGCACAAGGTCCACTTACCTTAAATACTATGCTAACAGCTAATGATAAAAAGCGTAGTCCATTGACGCCCAAAAGTCCAATTTTACCACAGCCAGAATCCAAGAGTCCTGGAAGCGGTTCACAAAAGACACCAACAACTCTCTCCCGACAAGGTACATTGCGCGCTTCTCATCGCCGCAAAAACAGTATTACAGGCTCCTTGGTACTTGTGCAGGGTAGACGTAGTCCGGTTGGTCTTAACGATCGTAGTCCTCAGGGTCGACGTAGTCCATTGCTCCTATCTAATGATCGGCTCAAGTCTCCAAATGAATTACCTGTACATTCGGCATTTGGTACACATAGTCCAACAGCTCGTAGTCCAACAGGTGATCGACGTAGTCCCACATTTAGCGTGCATACACAAGAACGACGTTCACCAATAGGCGCCGCTGCTCCCACAGAATTTTGTCATACACGTCGTAGTCCAACATCAACGGTACATGTGCAAGACGTACGCAGTGACTTTGAAAACATTACCCACGAAGGCGAGGAAGGTAATGCACGCACACCAACCGGCATACCAGGCATAAAACGCCCTTCAATCAATCTATTTACTCCTATTTACTTCACTGGAGACAAACGAAGTCCAATGACATCAATGCCCATTCCACCAATAACAGTATCCAATCCAACTGAAACGTACGCCGCACGTGAATTAGAACGTCAAAGGGAGGAGAAGGAAAAAATGGAAGCTGCAGCAGTCGCAGCAGCTGCTGCATCTGCGGAAAAAACGGAAAAAGAACAACCAGAAAAAAAGGAACGTACAAGTGTAATGAAGGAAATTTTGGCCTTTGTACGTAAGCCGTCGAAACATATATCAACACGCACAAATCGTTTTGCAAATGCTTTCACACGTGCCGAATCGGGTTCATCTAGTGGGCCGCTTATACGTCAGAGCACATTTTCGGCCAGCCCAGCAGCGTCCTCAACTGCTGCGAAAAGTGCCATAGTAAAACAAATGTCTGAAGTTGGATTCGAACCGAAGATGTCATTGAAATTCGCACACTACACAAAAATGTCGCTTAAATTGCGTCGATTTGCCAATGATGATAAAACAAAGCAAGCCGCTGCCGCAGCCGCAGCCGCAGCTGCAAGTTCAACAAAACGTTCCAGTGGCGATTCTAATGCCGGGGGACTGGAAACAGGTGATGCACAGCAGGTAGGTGGAGGTGTTGCCTCAGGTCGAGCGTCACCACTAAACGACATACCATTCGAATTCGCAAATGTGCACTTTGAAAAGGTAGGTGAGTCTTATATTAAGCATGAGAAAATACGCGAAGAAGATCAGAATGAGGAATCTGCCATTAGTATTGATATGGCGAATTTTGTAGAAGAAGTAACAAACTCATTAAAAATAGCCACGTTGTCAACGGATAACGCACAACCCACTCATCATTTTCAGCGTCGTTCAGAGAGTAGAGAACCTATAGAACCACGCATTAGTGAAGAACGTGAATCAGATTCCAATGATTTGGTGATACCGGAAGAATTTAGAACTGAACTTGTAGAGATTTTAAAAGCCTATGCATCAGAACCTATTTACATAAATTTGCAGGAGTTACGACGCGAAACCGAAGAAGCTGAAACAGTGGCTGAAGCCGCTAAAGCAGCATCTGAGGGTACTATAATTGAAAAATCCCCATTACAGTGCCCTATTATAGAATTTGAACCGCCATCGCGTAGGTCTTCCTTTGATCCGCCAAGATCACCTTTTCTTGAAAACTTACGCAGTCCTGGTGTTGATACCGAAACTGACTTTATAAATTTACAACGTCTTGATTCGGGTGGTGATAGCTTTGAAATGGTCGAGGGCGATCGTAAATCCAGTCGTGCTGAATCTAGTTTCGACTACCCGTACTCCTCACGTGATACAAGCTTTGATATATCGCGTTATCAATCAACAAGTTATGAAGATCAAACTTCAAGTTTCGAAATTGTCGACATGGACGATAAAAAAAAATCGAACATTGACTTACGAAAATCTTCCATTGAACTAGTAGATGTTGAAACTTTTCAACGTTCAGGCTCTTCCTGTGGTCGTAAGTCTTCATTAGAAACACATTTCGATTACACGCCTTCTGATAGTGGTGTGACGCCAGTACGTTCGCCAAATTTTCCAATGACTAAAAAGCAGAAAACTGAAACATTTCGCTCGTTGCACATATCTCCATTTAGTGCCTTTTCGCGTGCACGTAGCCCCTTGTCGAATCAAACTTCATCGAATTATAGTTCACGTGATAGTTATGATTCAAGTTCTTCATATCCACATTCAGCACCCGGTCACCACGAACAACAACAGCCACGCAGTCCATTTGCTGATCCCACCAAAAAACACTTTCCACTTACAATCAAACAGCGTGAAGAAGAGGTTAAAACGTTTCTTTGCACTGATCAGCGTTGTGCTTCCATATTTGAACCACGTCCAAGTTCAGTGCTCACGCAACAACTTTCCACCGGTTCAATGTCAACACCATCTGGCTATTATGGCAATGGCACGCCACGTTTAAACAGTGGTGCTGGTGGTGGGTTCTCAAGTGGTAGTGAGTTCGAACCGCCATCACCAAGACGTGCTGCCAGTGCATCCCCAAAACATACATTCACATTTAGAATAGTACTGAAAAAAGTAGATAGTTCACCGGAAGCGTTATGCCCCGAAAAGCACCGTAGTCGTATAATAGATCGTTATAGGCGTCGAGACAGCCGACGTAAACGCTTACATGATGCAGGTAAAAGTTTTTAAATCGGGAATAGAATTCACACTAAGAAAGTACAGGGATTTTAAGGACTTGGTATTTGTTTTCGGGAGTTGGAAGTAGTTGATTTAAAGCTTGTGTTAGTAGAGTCAATAATGACATAATTATAGATATACATACTCGTAAATTAAGTCAAATCTTTTTTATTCATTTTATTAGATATGATAAAATATATTTGCGGAAAAAGGACATTTGACTGTTTTTAAATAAGTTAATTGCGTTAGGAATATTAACTGAAATAAGTACAAAGCTTCTAGAAAATTTTTCTTAAGATTGATATTTTGAATTACACTTTGAAGAAGTCTACGAGATCAAAATGGTTTGTGGCCTTTTAGAGAAGAGTTTACGTAATGAAGGTGATGATGTTGGTAGTTAAGGAAGATTCAGAGAATACAGAAAAATAATTATGAAGTTCTGTATAATTTTGTAGAAGTTCGATCCTAGAATTATAGTATTTTATAAGAAAAGTGGCTAATGCAAATAACGAACATTACTACTTCATCTGAAAAAAAAAGTATATCGATTATGGTTAATATTAAACTTAACTGAAGAAGTGAATTTCAGTTTAATATAGAACAAGTTCGCTTGAATTAAAAAAGACTTATTAGGTGTTTCATAAAATAAAACTTATAAATCATAAAAAGCATTTAAAAGGTCAAAATATACAGGCGTTTTTAAACTAAAATATTATAAACTTTTGACAATCTAAGTGTTAAGAATACATACATTTATGTATCTTTTTTCAATAAATATATGTATATATAAATTTAATACATAAAAATCTCCTTGCATTCATACATGAACTAATGTCGACGTTTTAAATATATTTTTAATAATAAATCAATAAGAAATGGTTCTGGTTTTAGGCCGTTTAAAAGCTCTACAAGTTTTAAAGAATATTAACTAAGAAATTAATATTTACACAAATAATAATAAAAAAAAATGTAATGAAAAAGAAAACTTTATTATTGTAATAATAATTTATAAGATTTAAAACTATAATGTAAAAAGTGTTCATAACATTCATTCAGAGTAAATCCAGAATACCGTTCATAAGATAAATTCTTAGAGATGAGTGTTGTAATTATATATAATAGTAAATATGTTTTTATTAATTTTAAGAGCATATATTAAAGTTCCCATAATTTTTATTTTGCACTTTATATATATTAAAAACTATTTGTAATTATAATTCTCATATTGTATAATTTATGTGATTTATATATCATATTGCATTATAAGAAAAAACACATCAAAATCATTATTCGTATTAATGCCACAACTTTAATGAGATATTGTTATTACTAAGTAGAGTGATCACTTAATTAAAAAGTGATCCCACCCACCCTAGATCGCAATATTGTAATGTTGTTTTAAATAAATATTAAATGTTGCTTGTAAGAAATGTGTAAAATTCTCCTTTATAATCTTTCACTAATTTACATACATATGTTTCTTACATAATAGTTTTTCCACTTTATGCCCTATTTTCAGCTCTGGGTACGCCCATAGTTATGGCTCTCACTCAGTTCCCATTGATTACATAGACTGTCATATACAAAAGTTTACTAACCTCATTTTTTGTGCTTAAAGGTTCAATACGTCGACAATAAGTCAAAGTGAAATACCCAGGTAAGGCTATTGTGCATTTCGGTTTGGCTTGAGTTCGCTTAAGTGCTTACGGTACGTACCGACTAACTAAGCCTTAACACTCAATAAGCATTTGTTTTAGGCACTTGCATATGCAAATTTTAAGAGTACCCTATCTATGGTTGTTATATTACTTACTGTTATAAGTTTTTTGATTTTTATTTATTAATTGTCATTTACTTTGATATTAACCATTACATTGCGTATAACATTCATCAGTAACGTTTAACATTTACGAGTATAATCAATAAAATTCCTCACCTATTTCCAGTGTTAGATTTATAGATATTCGAATTTGGATAACTACATAAGAGTATATAAGAGACCACAAACGGATTTATACTTATGAACGGTTGTTAGTTGAAATAGTTAGTATCTTCAAACGGTTACATCAAGCTGGTAAGTCTACTCTCTCAATCGTTGAACTCGAACGACCTGAATATGATGTAATAATTTTGTATAAATATAAAAAAATATTTATATATACAAGTTTATAATAATAACAATAAGTACACAAACTTGTTATTAAATATTATTTAATAATTATAAAATAGAATAAATAATAATAATTATATATTTTCCTTCTAAATGGTTCCTGTTACAATATATTGCATATATAGTGTTAAAGTTTTATTATATATTCGTTGTACTTTATTTGTTAAAATATTACTTGTCTGAGAATAGTAAATATATATATTATAGAATTTAAAATAAAATAGTTTAATTATAATAAATCACAGCAAAAGTTTTGTAAATTTATAAAACTTTGCTGCAAAAAGCTGGATCGTGGGGCCGTACTTAATTACTAAGAATTACTCATTTGTGGGCATTTCAATTTCGCTGAAATTAAAATGTTCATAATGGTAAAAAATTAAATTATCTATTTAGGTAATTTATTATATATAGTCTTTAAGTGTTGTTGTTGTTGTTGTGCAAAGCTTATAACTAATATGATATATTAAAGCTTATTTTTCTTCCTAATTTTGAAGTGCTTCTTTTAGAACAATATTCGTATGAACATATATATCAAAAAAAAAAAAATATTAAAAATTGTTTTATTTTTAAACAAAATTATTAAATAATTAATTTAATAATAAAATTTATTTTTAAGCATTTCATTTTTTTTTTGTTTTTGTTAAATAAATAATATGTATGTGTGTTCTAAAGTTTTAAAAATACTTTTGCAGTTCACATTAGATGTATGTATGCTTTAATCAAAATAATGAAATAAACAATATATGAGTAAATTATTTAAAAGTTATAAAACACTACATTTACATATTTAAATTTATATATATTTTACATTTAATGAAATATAACTGATGTTTTATACGCAAACAGGAAATAATCAATAAATGGTTTTTAGTTTGTGGATTCTTATTATCAGTAGAAAATAGTCCACCAAAAGCAATAGTTAATAGTCTCCTTAAGCAATCTGTTGATAAATCAATATTTTTACATAAAAATTAGATTAATTAACTTTAGAAATTGTAAAATAATTGCTTGATTGACTGATAGAATGGAAATTTATAAGGATTTATTGCCATTGCATATTAAAAGCATAAATTTCAAATATGGAAAGATAGTTTTGAGGTACTGAAAATAGTCTAACTATAAGTCAGAAATATATCAAATACAATAAATATATAATTAAGTATATTTAGAGCAAAAATTTTTGTTTTACATATTAATATTATTATTATATTAGTTTTACAAACACTTTGAATTAAAGATAACCAAACCCGCATATTTATCGACAAACAACACTCTCACAAAACTTCAAATCCGCACGAAAAGAAATTTTACTATAATATATTAATATTATTAAAAATGGTTAAATTTAAATAAATTGAATTCGATATTGCAATATTAAATACTAATTTAATTTTCAAATAAAAACCACACGCTTTTAAAAGATACTCCAAATGTATGCAAGTAGAATTATTCATTATTCATTATTCATTTTTGAGCTTTGATTTGTAGAATTTTGTAGTTGCAAGATTGCTTTTATTGCTAGATATATAATATATTATACTCTGCTTGTAAGTAGTCGAATACTCAATTTATGGTACGAACACACCGATCTATATGGTAAGAATTTCAAATCCATTTAATGTAACTACAATCGTTCACCTGATTTTGAGAACAGATCCCAATATTTAAATGCCTTGCCTTGCTTAGTTAAAAAAATATTCGAATTTCTTAGTATTCTAACTATTTTATACAGATCCGATATCAGAATATGGAAATAGCCCCAACTATATGAGCTGTTTGTTCATACTCGGATAGTCGTACTATTTGAAAAATCCAAAATATTCGAGTACGAACATTATGACTACCTGCCTAAGTAATTAAAGATTAAACACGATTAGGTCCACTTACAATAAAAAGTTTTGGCTGCACTTAGTATAGTTCCAGGATCAGAATATCAAGAAATCACCTGACATTAATCATAGAATTTGTGAGATTTTTTGACTTCATAGGTAGTTTACCTGGTTTATAGAAATAAAAATTTTTAATAAAAACATACCTAAACCTACCAGTTGTGTAGAAAGAGAAATGAGGAAAGAGAGAAAAAAAATTTAAAAAAAATAGCTATAAATTAAATAATTACAGGACATAGAAGACATGATAAAGAGTTCGAAAATAATTTTTTCAAAAATAGATGAGTGTAAACATGACTAAATAAATGATCTACCACAAAAAGGTCCATTCAGGTCTGGATTTATTATTGGTAGTAGAAATAAAAAATACAAATAGTAATAGTGGAAATAAATTAGAAGAAAACATAAAATAAAAGTGCCAATAAAATTGTGTGATATTTATATATATATATTTTCCGGGCAATCTTTCATAAAAACTTTCAATGTTAAAAAGAAAATCTAAATACAAGCAGAGAATAACGAAAGTCATAAAGAGAGAAAAAAAAAGAGCAGAAACTTAATGAAATAATATGAACGAGAGAGAGAGAGAGAGAGAGTGTATGAAGGAGAGATATGCAGGAGAGAAGGATAAGAAATTAACAAGAAAGAACGATGGAGTATAGAGAGAGACAGTGACAGATCGAGTAAGAGATAGAAAGAGAGAGAGGGAGAGAGAGATAGAGGTGAGTGTGATATTTACAAATAGTTTCTGTAGAATAAAAATGTTCAATGTTAAAAATTAAATATTGAAGAATAAATAGTTTATGTAAAACTACTTTGCTAGGGTTGTTCAATTCGTTAGCTTGCCTCTGGCGTTCAACTTAAATATAGTATTTCATAAACAAGAATTTTTGTAGATTAGAAGCAAAATTTATAATTCTTAGAATCTTTAGTGATTTAAGCTTTCACAGGCATGTCACTGGTGGTTTTCACATCAAAATGTTCAACTTTTAAACCCAATGCCTAAAATATATTGACACTTAGTGTAGTGAAAGGAAGCTCAAAGTAAGTATATACTAAATTCCATTTCCAAGATACTGCCAGGAAAATCGAGTTCATACCGAAAATTGTATAGAGTATAGTTATTTAATAATATATTTGATCCCTCACTTAGTAATTAGTGAGGGATCAAAGCACTTTCTATTTGCTGCCTTTCAGTTTTGTTCTAGTTTTTCATACTTGTGAAAGTATACGACAGACTTTGACTGTAAGTTTTCATTGGAATTCATTGGGATTCATTGGGAGTAGAGTCTTATTAATACTGTTTTTTCTTGAGGCGAATTTTTACAGATAATACCATTATCAAAACATCTTTTATTTGCAGATGAAAATATCTTTTAAAAGCGTGGATTTTGTTATGCTACACAGCGCTCAAATATTTAAACAATGGCAAATTATTTGAAATTGAATTTTATATTAAATAAACCCAAATAAATATATAAATATTTTATTAAATTTTTCGCTACAACAAATTTGTTATTATATTTATTTGTACCTAATATATATTCCAATTGGTGTTAAAATGTTAAGTATAAAATTTTATATATAATTAAGGTATAAGGTATAAATTGTGTTTCTATTAAAAAAGTGTTTAATTAAGTGTATTGAAATATATAAAAATGAATGTTTATAAAAAAGTTTACAAAATATAATTGATATTAAAATATTTACTTGTATATTGATATATATTATAATTAAATGAAATGTATTTATTACCATTAAGTGTGTGATACACATATAAGCCTCTGTTCTTTTAAAGTTAAATATAAACTTCTATAAAAAGGTTTAAAAATATATTTTAAATAAAATATAAATTAAGAAAGTAATGTCAAAATTAAATGAACTATCAAATTAATATATATGTATAAACATAAACTCTGCAAAATTAATTAATAACTATAAAAAGCCAATTTACTTAAATAAAATAAATATTGAAATAAAATATTTATAAAGTATGTATCTATAAATGCAAATTAATATATTCTGTATATTAATATAAAATATCAATATATATATAAGTATATAATGTATTATTTATGCATTCTTATTATATATATTTGTATATGTACGAATCATGTACGATCTCTTTACTATATTGATAAAATGTTCTAAATCCACTCAAGGCAATATTGTTTAAGCTTATATATATATATATGTATGAAAAGGCTTATATAAAAACTTATCAAATTATGATATATTTGTAAAAGAAATTATAAAAATTAAATAATTTATATTGTACTGTACGCAAATTTCATTGTGCAAATTTTATATATATGTTTATGTATAAAAAGTGAAAAAACTAAATTTATAAATGTCTTTATAAATAAATTTATTTTGACGTTCAAGTTTTAAATATATGAAACAAAAAACAATTTATTTGTATTTTAATAAAAAATTTCTAATATAACTATTAAGTGCCCAACACCAGTTTTGGCAATTCCATGCCCTACAATTTCGAGCCCTTGTGTATGGCCAAGACACCATCAAACTCATAGCTGCCAATGTAAATGTCAGCATAACCCCATTGTTCGACGGTAACAGTTTTGCCAGTGCAGGAGCCATCAATTTTGGAACCAGAAATGACATCGCAATAAACACCTGGTGACAGGCAAGTCATTAAACGTTGATTCAAGTCATAGTCATTGCCATTGAATGCAATGAAACCACTATCGCCACGACAGAAAGCAATTTGATTATCGCCATTATCCCACCAGTCATTCAAGTCGTTGCCGCGAACGGCGTTCTTGAAGCCAACCATATTATAGATTTGACGCCAGCGATGTTCACATACCCAGCCGTTGATGCAAGCACCTTCTGAGTTGAATTCAGGCGATTTAATGGAACCATCAGCATTCGCTGGAGGTGCCTGATCACGATCGCTAAAGTCGAAAGAGCTCATGACACGGGTTATACCGAAAGGATACGATAAAGCGAAAGCTGTAGCCATTTTGTATTGTTTAGCATCTTTGTAGGTAAGTACGTAACCACCATCACGCTGATTATCGTGATTATCAACAAATACAAAGGCTGAGTCAGATGGTAAGAATCCCCAATCAGAACCCCAAGTACTCAACCATTTAAGTTGATTTTGTCCGCGGAATGCACGACCAATTTCTTCGGAGAAACTGAACTCAGTCACAGCTCCCAAGTTATTGTATTCATATTTGCTAACGGTTTCGTGTCCATGATCAATGACTTCTTGATAAATGAAGGGGCGTGCATTTCTTGGGAAACCGTGATCAATGTTGAGATCGCTGATGCGACTATAAATGATCTATTTAAAGTTTTTAAAAAAATAAATCAGTTTTATATTCTTATTATGGATATTTGGTATATGTAGATATGAATGAAATTTTCAGTTGTAGTTATATACATTAAAAACCTGCCTATGTGAGATGGGTCCTATTACAACGATACTTCACTTTGAGTGTTGATGTGATATGGGTTTGGAATAAAAGATGATGAAAGTTATGATGATGAATGGGGTTTTGCAATGATTGCAATGTAATTATTATTATTGTTTACAGGTTTTCTCTATTTTGGTTTCATTGTTAGAACTATTTGTAGTAATTCGATTTAATCTTCTAACAATGAATCAAAAATATTTACTTTAAGAAAAGATCGCTTAAAACAAAAATCCTACCATAACGCAAAGGACTCAAAGACGATCAGTGTTTTATCTATGGTTCAGTCACTCTTAAACACAAATCGGACTTAGTGGATTACTGTGTATCTATATAATCGGTGGTAATAATAACGACTACATCAACTGCGTTATATGAAAATATATCTATTGCCTTCTATAGTCATTTTACATTTTCTTCTTATTCAGTTTGTTATTCTTATTCATTTTGTACTTAAAGTCGGACAGGAATATTACAGTTTTATGTGAACTATGCGAATAATTTTTAAGGTATTTAGATTTCTGAAATGTGTATTTTTCAGATTTAGGTAAATTTGCTTTATATTCCACTAATCTCGTACACGCAAATCTTTACTTATATTGAGTTATTTGTGTAATTATTTATAAAATATAATATTTATAACTTACCTCTAAGTCAGTTGCAGCCATATGTTTAGCAGCATCAACACGGAAGCCAGCCACACCGAGTTCAACTAAATGATCCAAGAATTCGACCAACCGATCGCGCACATATTCTTGACTTTGGTCCAAATCCTTAAGACCAACCAATTCACAGCTTTGCACTTGATAACGATCATTCCAGTCATAAATCTCACAAGTTTTGTGGAAATGTTCCTCGGAGTAAGGAACAGCAGGGAAAGACTTAAGACCTGGCTCAGCCAAATTACCAGCTGTGCCTTCAACAGTACGGAAATGATCAGCAGCCATGTGGTTCAAGAGAACATCAACATAAATGCGTACACCGACGTCATTGCAACGGCGAACCATATCAGCGAATTCCTCTTCACTACCTGAACGTGTTTCTAACTCATAAGAGATGGGTTGATAACGTTCCCACCAAGGACGACCTTCAACGACAACGTTTTCAGCAACAGGTGAAACCTATGAGTAAAAAATAAAAGAACAGAAATCCATTTAGCATATTTTTTACAATTTAAAATCTGTCAGAAAATTGTTATGCCAATTTGAAGAAAACTCACCTGTACACCAGCAAAGCCATTTGGTGCTAAGAAATCTTCACATTCTTCAGCTATATCAGACCATTTCCATTCGAATAGATGTACAATAGTATTCCGGTTACCCCACCAGTATGGCTCAAGTTGAGCACTGATGCTACTTATTAAGGCTAAAAGCCCGATGGCTAAGAAACCTAAGCTAACTTTTCTCATGGTGCAAGACGTTATGCTACACTCACGAAACACTACCGAAAACAGCGCTTTTATAGCGTTTAGGGTGCATTGATAATAGCGCTAGGTGGTCTATCAGTAGCTATCAGTCTAACATTAGTCGCACCAGATAAGAAATCGTTAATGATTTTATTTGCTCATTTCTAGTTTCCATTTTTGCGAAGTTCCACCTTTGTGTGCTATGGCAGGCAGTCAAGCCCAAGTGCTTAACATGTCGACAGTAAATCAATTAAGACTTCCAAATGTGCTCAAGAAAATTTATTATGTGCTCTGATTGTTCTTTTACAACTCGTGTGATATACATACAATTTTTTTTTTGTTGTGGGATTGTGATTACTACTTCGCTATCAGTGCATAGTAAATTTTAAATTTGGCTTATCTATTAAAAATAAACTGACACAAAAACATTCGTTCGCTGGCGGGTGCCGTAGGTTATTTATAATTTCTTTGAAGTTTCTTGCTCCCTGGTCAAGATCTTTAGCTTCGCACTTTTGCGGAAGAGTAACTTATCACGTGCCTTGATCTCCTGTAAGTAATTTTTTTGCAGAATAACCGTGAAATAGTAGATGATCTCAACGGCCGAAACCATACTCATTCCCACAAACAAACTGAATGCGCTACCCAGATTTGCTACGAGAAGTGGAAGAAAATATAAAATGTAAATTTAGGTAAAAATAATTAAAACTTCGACTTACAGACAAGAGTTACCATATTGGACAGTAGATCATGTCTGACTCGTCGATAAACTTGAGAGTTAAAGAAGATGTGCGCCACAGCATAATCCTTTTGAATGTCATCACTGGAATTAATCGATTTAAACATAGATTTAAAAATTTAAAAGTCTCTCAGTACACTTAAAATATATCTAAAAACGTTATATTTTTCTTAAATAAGATTATATGAAAGTGAAAACTGAAGGTAGAGAAGGTAGAGAATGGAGTTACAGATGGGGAAAAAAACATGTAACAAAGCATCATTTGCAGTCTCTTTTTTCTCTAATATCTCAGTCTCTGGCACCCTAGAAATGGAAATCTTACGTAGATGCGCATTCTATTGCGATTATTATTTTATTAATAAATATGGAACCTTAAATAAATTCTATAGAAAATCAAATGAATTACCTATCAGATATCGATATTGCACTTCACAAAATTTTAATTGTTTTTGTATAAATCACATCGTGGACTCTTCACTTCACTCTTCACGATTATCAATAAAATTAATTTGATTTGTACTATAAATAAAATATTTTAATCGAATATTCTTTAATTATAAGCTCAAGGCTATTATCTTTTAAATTTATTGCTAAAGTTTTGGTCAAACTGATCAGCAAAGTGAAACGTGATATCGAAATTGTGACGTATCGTTTGCTCTGTCGAAGATTTCGATAACAAATTCTGAGTAAGACAAAAATCATAAATAAATCGACCTTCAAGTTTTGGACTATATACGCACTTTATCACTAAAAATCTGTAAATAAAATTAATTTTAAATAATTTTATAAATTTATCATTGCACTACATTATTTATTAGTAACTTCTATTTTTCATATCTTCTTTAAGTCTAAAAGCTTAAAGCCTCAGAATTTGCAAACTTTTCATTTAATATTCAATTATAGTTAAATAATCATTAAAGAAGCTGAAGTGATTATTCCTAATGATCACAACAATAAGAATAGAAGATTATAAGAATCCATTCCCCACAGGGTTTGCATGCATACATAAAATGGTTAGCATTATTTCAGCAAATTAAGAGTAAAATAGCATTGGAAAATAGTTTAGAACACACCTTCAACTATATAAAGGAAGAATCTTGTTTTCCAATCTTCTTTATATATAGAACGCAGTTTAAATAGCGCCAGAAATAGAAAGGTATGTATGATGTATAAAAAGATTTGATAAAATCTTCTTGACATGTGACTGAAACGTGGCGAATTGTCAACTAAATTCAACTTAAAATAATCGTATACTTCATCTCAAATAGATGCCTACATAGCAATCAAAATGTTTAACTTCAGAGCTACTTATAATGTATACATACAAATATAAATAAATATATATATATAATAAAATTTTTGAACTCACTAAAAAGTATCAACAGTGGGCACATTTAGGTCCAAATCGGCGCTGTCCAAATCTGTATCGTAATCAATACGCTCACAAACATTTGGACAAGTGCATTGCGTATTACGAAAGCGTCCAAATATATCAGCTGTTGATCCAAAAAAAATAGAACAACATAAGTCTACATAAAACAAGATATTCGGTCACATAGGAGTGTAAATACTAACTAAATTTCTCGGTCAGGCATGGCACATCTTTGTAGCTGCATATGCGGTCCTTGACGCCTTTGATTTCGAAAAAGTACGCATAACAACCGCAGAACTTCACCATATTCATAACGCGGCAGTTGAGTTCGCAATGGGCCCCCACATAAGATTTGAAATACTTCATTGGCACTTCATGAGGCAACACACATTGACGTTCTTCGATTGCTAGACTTTTCACTGCACTAGAACTGAACGTTTCCACAGGGGTTATCGTTGCAAATACCTCCTCATTTAGGCCGACGAATTTCGCGGTGTCATGTGCGCTGGGAAAATGATCAGGGTCATGTATCAGCAGCTTAAAGCCAAGAGAGTAGGAAGTTATTTGATCGTAGTCGGTGTCGTTGTAATACAGTATTATAGAAAGACCATCCCGCTGGCCGGGAAGTGAATATTTATTCGTAAAGTTTACACTGTGGTAGAGCAAAAAATAAATTTCAGTTCGTAGTCTTAAAATATTTGCACAAACCCTTCTTGTTTAATATTAAAGGAACAACAATGACCATAAAATGTTCTCGCTATCTGAAAAAGTGTTGAACAATCCATGACAGTCCAATAGAGGCGGCAGCGAAAGAGTAGATCAGAACAACGCCAGCGCAAGTTTTCAATGAATTTTGTCACTGTCAAATTGTTTAGTTCCAACACATTTTCCAATATTAGCGCATCAGACATTGGAAATTGTTCATTATTGTTTATAAATCCATAATTAATACGTAACAACTCTGTTACTCTCTGCACCGTAACATTAGTCGGTAGTTTCCTGTATTAACACAACAGTTGACATAGGGAAATACTTCCATTAAACATTAATGGAAATATACTTACAATGTTTGCACATAGTTTGTTGACCTTTGACCACTGAATAATACTTCTGGACATACAGTGACCGCCGGGAATAACAGGTTTGAAATCGGTGCATGGTCGTTCTCGACATTCATGCGCGTTGGGTTGCTACGATAGTCTATGTAAAATGTGCAAACCATTGTTATGGCACAGATGAACATAATTATTATAATCAGAATCCAAATGAATCTGTAAGACGTTAATAAATAGTTATGCAAATGTTTAAATGGGACTTGTTACCGCACAATGTTATTAGTTTCGTCATCTCTGGTATACTTGAGACCATGTATGCTGGTTGTTTCGCATAAGTTAGTCCAAGTGCGTTTGATAGCGCTATGAAGTGGTCCAATGGACTCATCAATGTCTTCTGGTTCTAGTTCCGCGTGACCCATTTTGTTTAAATTTGAAATTTTTTCTTTTCTGCAAGCAAAAAACGACTATCCTCTCGAATAATTGAATACGAATTGAAATGAAAAAAAATGTTATTCCATAAAGGATATGAAAATGAAATTAAAAATAAAAATAATCGTGTGTGTATCTCTTCATATTTTATTGCCTATTATTAAAATCGTATTAATAATGACCAATAACTTGTCACTCATAGGAAACTCAAATTATGGTTGTTGATGCATGAAAAACTATGGGATTCTAAATTGAATGTAGATATTAGGATATGAAATCGTTGCTTACCCACATGGAAGTTAATAATGCAGTTGCTGTTTGATGTAAATATTAGTCAAAATATTTTCTAAAAGTGAAATAATTTTGGTATACGAGTACTTAAATTGCAAAAAATTGTTAACAAAAATTTAATTGTTAAAACATTTTGTTAAATTTCAAAATGTTATGGAAGTTACTGGGAAACATCTACAATGGAATGAAATTTAATAAACTGAAAGATACACGAGAATATATTGAAAGAAAGCATATTTTCCGTAACAAGGAAAAATAAAATTTATGTAGCTCGTTATTACATACTTTTAGGTAAATCAAAAGAAATTAGTATAGTTTCAATTCAATGCTCTCATGTGTTTTCTACGGTCTTTGATAAAAATTTACTGAAGACCGTATATAAAATACGGTATTGCTGAAAGTGTTTGAAAGACCGTAATAAGTTTAACTAAGAACGTGTCATAGACCGTATTATTGCAAATAATCAAAGATCGTATTTCAAAGAGGTTTTGGTTTTGTTCTATGAATAAAACTGCAATAATTGTATAAAACATTTTATTGAACATAAGAGCGTAAATGTGTTTTTATAACACATTTACCAATCACTCAATATATGCCGAAATAGCTCAGTTGGGAGAGCGTTAGACTGAAGATCTAAAGGTCCCCGGTTCAATCCCGGGTTTCGGCAAACATTAAATTTTTTGCTCCGTTAAATTTTTTGCTCCAGATATAATTTTTTTATAACTTAATTTTTGTCACTTTAATTAATTAAAATTATTCTTTATCTCATTAAGATTATTTTAATGATTTCCTGATGCATTAATGAACCTCTAATAGAACAAATTCTAAAATTTATAACGCCCTTGAATATTAAAATGTTATATAAAAAATGTGTATATAATATATTTTATATTTAAAATGACAATTAAATGGTTTTAGTCGTCGGCCCATACTATATATGGGAGACATATTATAAGAGTGGAAAAGGCTAAGAGGTTTACTTAGTTTTTTTCGTGACATGTTTTTATCTTTTACGTACTGTGATCTTTCATTAAAGTATCTCTCATCAACGTACTGTACTCAGTACAGTACGTTGAGTACAGTACAAATCTACATTTGTCAGTACAAATCTACATTTGAATACGATTGATGTGGTTACTTAAGCAATTTTTACGTACTGTGATCTTTCATTAAAGTATCTCTCATCAACGAACTGTACTCAGTACAGTACGTTCAGTACAGTACAAATCTACATTTGTCAGTACAAATCTACATTTGAATACGATTGATGTGGTTACTTAAGCAATTTTTGTTGAAGTTCCTAGTACCAGATCACAAGTCGTTATTAAGATTATTACAAAGGTGAATAGAAGCTTTGGGGTATTCTCGTACTACTAGTTTAATTCTGGGGTTGATTTGGAATATAATCGATAATTTTAAATTCTGTTTTGCTAGAGAGATTTACAGGATTATTACTTATCTTCATGCTGGTGTACACAATGTAAGTGCGTTTATGTAGAAAAACTTATTCTGGATAGATTTTTGAACACACATTCAAATGAAAAAAAAATTCATAAAATTATAACATAGCATAAAATTTTCTAAAAATATTTTTGGTGTGAGGTCGAACCTCAAAATCCCACCAGGTATATTGAGTAATGGCAATAGTTCAGTAAGAATGAAAGCAAGAGTTTAATAGCTTTGTTATTTTACTTTCAATTGATTACCTTTCACTTATATGGGGTGACCTAGTTCAAAATTAATTAAGATATATTCGTTTCGATAATGCTTTTCGGAGAGTCTTGATGATTATGTGCCCGTATTCTCAATATTCTTATCTTTGGCATTAGATAAGGAATTTTAAATGTAAGTATCCAGTATTGGAAGTGCATTCTTACATTTCTACACACTCGATACGCAGAAAATTTGTGCTTCTATAAACAGTTTATTTGAGGATCTTACCGAACTTCAGGATCCCCCTCTGAATAGCATCATAGGCTTTGCCAAAAGTTCTAAACGGTTTTAACCCTTGGGTTTTTCAATAATACGATACGAAGTGAATCCGTTGGGATCGCCGGTATAGCCTAACCTAACACAGTTTCTCAACGTCATTAGGGAATAATGCAACTAAACAAATATTTTCTTATTCCTGGTGTGATAGCTTGGAAGTAATAATACTATCGCGATCTTATGATCACTTACTTATCGAGATTAAGCACTTTCTAAACTTCTCAAAACGTACAAAATTTATAATTAAAACCAGATATGTTATCCTTTTTTGAGGATGTAGTAATAAAAGTTATCAATAATTTTTATTGTAAAACATAACAATTCTACATAAATATAATCTAATTTAAAAGTAGATTATGACATGAATCATTGATTTTTTCAATTATTGACTTTAAAATAAGATCACTCTTTCGAAAATTCATCACATTTGTATAACATTGTTTTATTTTGTTTTAAAAATTTATTTTAAAAATTTATTGTCTTTTTAATAACAAAATCATTGTGCGATAAAAAATAAATTTAAATAAAATTAGAAGCTGAATTAGCACAAAAATAAATAAATAAGATAACAAAAATCTAATAAGGACTAACTTTCATGTAACTAAAATAATAAATAATATTATTTAACTGATTAACTAATTAATAATTAAAATTAAACTATCACTACACTTAACTTACATTTAACAACAAATTATTTAATTTCATATATATATATAGATATATATATATATAGATAGATATATATATACTGATAGTTCACTTAATATGTATAATGGTTATACTCGTAACATTTAAATTTCATTTAAATTAAAACTTAAATAAATAAAAAATAATTTAAATAGAACAGCTCTCACTCTGATGTACACCGGAATGCATACATCTCCCCACAGGATATTTGTCTTTTTTTGCATATATATAATTTCGGATTCCCAAATCGGAAACACCCACCCACTTGAATATGTAATTTCTGTGTAACTTAATTCTAAGTGTTATCATCCCAAGAAGCTGATGTAACATAGTAATTATTACTGTCGCTTCTTAGTTAATGGCCCGTTTCGGAAATGTTTCTCACGGCTGCCGCGTTGGTGATGCCATGGGTTATTGCTGGTGGATGTTGTGGTGTAGCACCATTGTGATTTGGTTTAAGTTCATCGTTCTCGGGGTTGTCCCAGTATTGACGTTGACCTGAACCGAATAAGTTGTAGAACGTACCACACACTATGTACACTGCGGCGGCAATAAAGAACACCTTCTGCCATTGTGCCATTGTGGGCTGTTTGTACAAGAAAATATAAAAAATAAATCCACTATTCACAATATTGATCCAACCAAGTTCAACTTACATTGTTGTTGATTAAATTGCCAGCTGCAATTGGAGCCAACAAGCCAGCCAAGTTAGCTAAACAATTCGTTATCGCCATTAGGAAACCAGCAAATCTTGGTGTCAGGTCCAAGTGATTGATTTTGAAACCGGAATATATACCACCATTGAGACCAACTCCAATAGTTAGTATAGCAAGGGTCAAAGCACGATCACAGCCAGTATAGGATGCAGCAATTAAAGCAATACCGGGACCATATTGACCTAGAAATTAGTAAGAATAAGAAAAAGTTAATAACATACAGGTAACACATATAACTATATTATAATATATTATTTACAGTAGATTTGTAGGACTGTGTAGTCCATATAATATATAATGATGCTTACCAATACTGTTAATAATCTTTCTGGTTGCTGTATGAGTGAAGCGGTTTGTAGAGATCATCCAATCAGCTATCACAGAAATGAACATAGAGAAGAGCCACATAGCCAAGTAAGGTAGAGAAGACAATAGACCATTGGATTTAATAGAGAAGCGTAGCACTTGTTTCATGTAAGTGGGCAACTCTGTCATCAGAGTTTCATAACCATAGTTGTGACCCATGTGAGCGAAGAGTATAGCATAGAAGGGTAATGATTTCATAATTGCTTTATATGGAATTGGTGGATTCTGCGAAATAAAAAAAAAATGTGATATTTTAGAATTTGCATACAGCTAAGTAAATTAAAATATATTTTACAAATACGAATTTCAAAAATTTAATATTAAATAAAAATCATAAAAGAAAATCTTACCTTATTAGTTGTAGTACCCCACAGCGATTCATTAATATATTTCTTTTCACTTTCATCTATACGTGGATGGGATGATGGATCCTCAAATACCAATACAAGGAAAGCAATTGACCATATTGTGCCAACAACTCCAAAAACATAGAAAATTGAAGGCCAACCTCCATCGAAACCGTATTCAGCTAGCAAACCTGAGAGCGGCATAGAAATAATTGTGCCAAATTGTGCACCAGCATAAACAGCAGCACCCATACGGGATCGTTCATTGGGTGGTATCCATTTGGCTAGTAATGCATGTGTACAAGGTACAATTGGACCTTCGCCTAAACCTTGTATAAAGCGTACAGCACACAAACCCCATACTCCACCTTCACGTGCAGCAACTGGTACCAAGAAAGCAAATACAGAATTAACAAGCATACCCCAACCGAGGAAGCGTAGAGCACCATACTTCTTAGCCAAGATGCCAAAAGGAATCTATATGTGAGTGGAGAAGTGAAAATAAAAACATGTTAGGATTGTAAAGTGGTATAAATAATATTATTATATTACCTGAGTGATGACATAACCGTAGAAGAAAGAGGATAGAATATAACCTTGTAAACTAGAACTCCAAACGAATTCGCCATCTTGACCACGATCCTACGTAGAATCAAAAATAATTTGTAAAATTCAGTTTTTGTAACTTTTAATGAGCTTACCGGTTCTGTCAAATTTTGATCGGGACATTCGTCGTCGATTATATCCTCATGTCCATCAGTAATCGCTGTGTGATTAACCATAGCCACAATAGCGACAGACATATTTGTGCGCATTACATATGCATTGGCCATGCCCAGAAACAGCATGAAAGTGACGAAATAGCGAGTAGGGAAGCATGCTGGAAGAGAAGAGAATACAAGAAAATCAATTTTTGATAACTAGTATAATTTCGCGATACCTGAAATAGAATTTTTTATTTTTCTTTATTAGAATAGACGTAAACGTAAGAAATTGACAAGCAATAAATACTTTCCTTGGCATATATATAATACATAAAAGAGTAAAACACCTTTGAAATGAAGTAATAGTAGACAGACGGCTAGCAAGAAAATATATATAACGAAACACCAGAACAACGTGCAGTTTATTGGAAAAAATAAGAATTAAGCAAGCAAGAAATATTGAAAATAAAATTCAAGAAATACGTTCGAGATATACTTTTAGGAAATTTACGAACTGAGCAACATTTGAACATTGCAAAGGAAACACCAGAACAACGTACAGTTCGTGTAGAAAATATAAGAACTTAACAAGTAAGGCACAGAGAAAATGAAAACACTAGAGCATTATATGTTTCATTTAGCGTATATATAAGGTCTTAGCTAACCAAACACATTAAAAATAAAATACCCGAACAACGTACTGATTGTTTAGGAACTAGGAAAACTCAGCGATCGGCTAACAAAACAAATTTAATAGCACAACCACTAGTCAGAAAGCATAATATGAGTGAAGGAAATGAACGAATGTACACTTTAAAAATATTTGCGTCTAAAATTAAATTTAATTTAAATCATGAGTAATAGTTTTTGTATATATGCCGTCACGTGCATACCTTCGACAGACAAGTTAACAAAACTGACTCAAGTATAGAAGGTGTGCTCCAAATTCATAGTCAACATTAAACTTATTGCTCAGTTAATAATAATAACAATTAGAAGAACAATATATAAGCCCTATAGCAATATTTAAATGAAGCTGTCTTATAAATATTTAATAAGTTTCAATTATTGAGTTACACTATATGGTAAGAGTCGTAGAGGAAGGGGTGCGCATTCATTCTCTGCAAGAATGAAATACATTCCTATACTGTCTGATATTTTATTATACGTGATAATAAATTCATATTGGACTAGTACCGTATTGAACTCTTCTTCTTAGTGTCCATTTCTCCTAGTGGGGTATAGGACCCCAACGATTCTCTTCAATCGCACTCTGTTAGGCGCTTCTCTGCATATATGGTTCCATGTATAGTGCGCTTCTGTCATTTTTCTTTCAATTGTCCTTCTCGAAGCTAAAGCCGGTGCACCTGCGGCCTTGTAGGCGTCTGCTGCCTCGTATGTACCACTTCAAAGCTAGTCGTGGAATGTATTTATCTGTTCGTCGGATAGCATGCCCTATCCAGTTACATTTTCGCATTATTATTTCGTATTGGACTAGTATCTTTCTATTCACACTTGCACTTGAAAAGCTGTTATTAATTATGCATTATAGTACCCTTTTAGGTTTCCGTAGTTTCACGCTACGCCACTGCGCAAGATAGTTCTGACTAATTGTCATGCTCTGTGAACTTTAGCTTTTCAGCCTAGTCAACTTGGAAATTTATTCCATTCAATTAATAGTTGAATATTAACAAATTCTAGAGAACATCAAACAATTCACGTGTTTTTGTGCTTAATTCTATTTTTGCGATTTCATCACAGACAATTACTGTTTGTTTTATTTTAAAATGATTTAAATATTCAAAAAACAAAAAAATTCTGAATGAATTACTTTTAGCAGTGATTTGACAGCCGCTCTTTGCTGTTAACTTAATTTGTGTGCTACGAATTCTGTTCGTCTTATCAGTTGTTTACATACGAGTTTGTTGATGAGTTGAAAAAGTAATTCATGGTCAAGTACTCATCATATCCAGCAAGTGAAAACAGAAAACTGTTACTCAATGTAAATATTTAAGACTATGATTCATAGATTAGACGAATTCCATTCGATAGAAAAACAAAAAATATTTATTATGTTAAGGTTCATATGAACTATAAACACAAGGCGGCAATATAAGTTTGTTATTCGAACTGAAAAGTTTTATATGTGTTTATGAATCATATACAGGGTACTTCATAAATAAATGATGAAGACGATCTAAAAAATTCAAAAAAAATTATTGTGCTGCAAGCAATATATATATTGTTCTATGGAGATAATGTAGTTTTTGGTGATTCATTAAAGGGATTTAAAACCATTATTCTCAAAATAAGCTTTTATATGATTATACAATAAATGTTAGCGTTTGTGAAAATATAAGATTTTAATACAATAATGAGATTTAAAGAGAAGGTTGCCTCATTTGTACTGTTGCATACTATATCTTTAGCGAATGTTGGATCTCTTTAGCACTGTAATGTGAACTATGGAGTTACTCGAAATGTTTATTGGAATTTGTTTATGGGTTTCGCGGAAATAATTTAATCATGGCAGATCAATTCAGTATAAGTAATTGGGTAAAAAGTGTGTTATAGAGACAATGGAATTTTTGAAGGATACTAGGGAAATCTCATATCTTTATAGTGAAAATTGTGTGTGAAAAAATTTGATAATAAAAAATTAAAAACCATATACCATAGCATTAGGACTTTAATTTAAAAAAATGTAGTATAAAGAGGCTATCTAGTTTGAACTGTTGTATATTCACAATTTAGTTTTTATGTAAATTTTGACCAATCTAGAACCACAAAAAGAAAACCAATTGAAAGACAGAAATTAATTCCAATAATAATTGATATACACGCTGTCAAAGAAAATACTGCAAACAAGTAACTATTCATAATACATATTTGAAGAGGATGGATAAAGGTTGACTGTAAGTCCATTTATTAGAATCTACACTCAATAATCATATGTAGCTTAATCACATCCAAGCTACTTATGTTCATAGTATTGTTTATTTTTTTGTTATTTTGTGCTTTATGTAGTGTTCCTTTATAGTCTGTGTCAATACTCGCTATATATTTGGGAGCATTTCTTCATAACCTCATAAATACGCGTTATAATATTCACTATTCATAGCTCTCGAGTTAACTGATGTACATTATATCATGTGTAGTGTTAATTGCTAGTAGTTGTAAACTGTTCGTAAGTAATTAATTTTCAAGCTATTTTGAAATGCTCACGTTTCCGTTGTGTGAAAATTGTTTAATTCAAAATATAATTGAAAAAGAAAGAAATTTTAAGATATTTGCTTTGCATGCAGCTCTCTGATGGCGCATCACTTGACCCACTGTGGTTTCGTTGGCTACAAATAGCTACATTGCCTCTGACAAGGGTTCCCAAAACGTGTCAAGTTTATTTTTAGTTAATGTCTTTGATACTATAAAAATAAATAGTTTTTATAGTTCTGATTGAATAATTAGGTGACTAATGTTATATTTTTAATAAAACTTTAAGCTCTCAACAAAAGCAATAGTACTTCTAGTTTAATTTTTAATTGTATCTTTTCTTTCGAAAACTATAACTAAAAAAAAATTAAAAAATTAATAGAAAAATTCCTCAAAAATTTAGTTAAAGTAATTTATCAATCACAAATATTTTCATTTCACAGCTAAAGTTTATTATCTTTTCGAACGATTTTGCATTATTTGTACTGCAAGCAATGCAGATAATTTCTCGGCAATATTTGTTTATCCACGAAACTGGGGTCGTTAGCGTTTTTTAAAAAAATCTTTCTGAAAACGTTGACAATATACGCCTTAGCCGCTGCATCATAGAAATATTCATGTGATAGTGTTTAATTCGTTAGAAGGTAAATAAATTAATCATAATTACTGTTCAGGTTGACAACAAATACCGCACGTATTTGTTTACTTTTAAGTTCAGTCGATTGTATTGTTTTCTAATATTTTTTTTATATCACAATTTTGAATAATAAATAATAATAATAAAACATTTAAATAATGAATATTTAAAATTCAAAAAAAAATTACCGGAAATCCTTTGGAAATGATATGAGATGAAGTTTTGCTGAACGTGCTGTCAGCGGAAAGCACCAGAAATATTTGACAATCAAGTTATGGGCCATGAGTAATGGACAGTAATTGGAACAATTGTTTTTAAGCAAATTATTTATATATTATTATTATATAATAAATAATTGTAATTGTAATTGCTTCTTCAGACTAATACAATAACTAATATAATAATATATACCAATTGCTCTATAATTATTCTAAGCAGTGACTATAGGCGTTTTAATATATGTTCTTTGATGAATGATTAATTGCTTATTAATCTTTAAACACATTTTTTATAATTAATATAAAAAATTTTTCCAATAATACGAAATGTAGTAAATATTTTCACTTCCCCCCATGAAAAAGTTACGTATACGCATGGGTTAACCATTTTTATTACATTGCATTTCATATTAAAACTTGATCGAAAAAAATATATAAAAATTATAAAAATTTTTAGAAAACACAATGAGACTACAATGAGACAAGAAGTAATTAGAAAATTGAGAAATTTATTAAATAAAAATGTTTGTTTATAGGAAAGTTTATTGACATTTGTTTATGGATTCGGTGGAAATAATATAATCGCGTATAGATCAATTTAGTATAAGTAATATGGCTTCAATGACGTCAATGAGCTTTTATATATGTTTTTGTAAGATCTTTTATCTAAGATTTTATATAACTATAATGACACTAAAGGTTAGTCCATTAGAACTGTATAAAGAATATAGTTGAAAAGTAATTGTGATGAATGAGATGACTAATATTTAAGGATTTATTTAATAAGTGAATTAAATAAAATTTAATTATTTTTAATGCAAATATATTTGCGTTATTTTAGTTTCTACTAACTGTACTATAATACATTTTTAATCCTAATAAAAACTATATGGTATATTTATCTATGTATACAATGTTATTGAATATGAATAAATTATGAAGCTAAAAAGATTGTATATATTTAAATATATATAATATATAAATAAATTTAACTCTAAATAAATTAAATAAATTCATTATAGTTGGATATAATGATATAACAACTTAAGGAATAAAGTTAAAAAATGAAAAAAATTTAATATTATATAAATACTATATTAGCGAATCGAAA